GTGTGGAACATGATTGGTTGTGGGTCCTAGCTTCCGCCATTCCTGAGTTTCACGTGGTACAGTATGCGGTGTCTCTCAGTTTGATTGATTCGTATGTAAGTAGTGGTGATGTACAACCTTGCTCACTGGGCTTCGGCTCATGAGATTTGTTCCTGTTTTCCATCCACGGAAATTGTCGTGAACACCTGCTTCCGGAGAGTCACTGTCCCCTGGCGCTTCCATAGCGTTCATGTTACACTTGGTGCTACACCGTCCTTGGACCCGTTCTTCCTGTCATTCAGATGGAAGTGAGCATTATTGACCGTCGCAGCGCCAATTTGTGAGTTGTGAGACTGGTTTGGCGTAGGAATCCGACGAAACTTCGATAGCAGTTTGAAAAATCAGGGGTCGTTTTATGTTGGAAGCAAACAAACTACATTTCACCAGCCTCTTGCCGGTGCTGTACTAGCGTGGCTTTGTCCATACTTGTTTTCCCGAACCCGAGGAGTTCAAACGTAGGAGCCTCCCGCGAGGCAGGATAACAGTCTAGTTTAACGGCCATCCCCAGGTGTCCATCAAAGAGTAGAATCCAGCCCCCCAACCTTGAGCGCTTCAGCTTTTATCCTTGGAATGATGGTGCGTACCTCTCCGGTGTTCATTGTGCCATACCTCCTGATGTCTGTTTGACATTCTAGTCCCTCATACTAAGTACCACTGCAGAGGTGCTGGAGCTTATCATTGTGTGAATGTTTCTGTAGCCGTATGACCCACTGACATTGTAGGGGTTGGGTAGCTTCAAAGATGGTGCACCTGCGGAACGTGTGGCAAACCAGTGGTTGGAGCAAACTGGGCAGTCTGATGGAATGCTGCTAAGCTACCCCACGTCTAAAAATTATCTGAATTGTGTGATTGCACTGCGAGGCACTCAGTCACCGGGAGAATATGTCACTGTTGGCGCCACTCCTGACAACGGTTACCAACCTCAAAAATCCTAGCAATTCAGCGTCAGTCGCTTCACTCGAAAATATTCGAAGCCTATTACAATCAGACAAGACCAACGGTTGCGTTCTGTAATCCCAACGTTGCTAAATTACTTGCAGTGGCTAATTGATTGCGTCCGACAGTATTTTGTTTTACCACCCGACCTCATGGTAACCGAATGCGGCATCTGACGGTCACCCAACCTAAACCTGTCACCTTGTCATGGTGTTTAGGCTGCGCTTGTCCTGCGGACTACAGCTAGCAAGAACTCTTCCTGAAAGTTCTACCAGGTCAACGGAAGGCAGTCAAACGAACGCCACGTCCCCGTATTGAGAGTAATGGTATTATGAGTTTGTCTGGAGATAAAGTCGTACTGTGCTTTGCAACCGGAGTGTGGACGCAGCAAGCATTTCCTTCAAGTGACCAGCTTCTCCATAATTATGGGGTCAGCGACGCTGCCTTCATACGTATAGGAAGGGAAAGATAATCTCGGCCCTAAAAGCCACACAACGGTTACCTAAAACCCCAATACGGTCGAACTATTATTAGAACCAGAGAGCCCGCTGTTGCTCACGAGGCGAATGCTGCGTGCAGCTGCATTAGGAGTGAGACAGTAATGCCTTAGACCTGCGTCCGCAGACCGGGCCAGCCCATTGCTGTCAAGGGGTCAGACTATTGAGTCATTCGCTCCGGCAAGGGTTCTCAACAAACCTTTAACAACCGTTGCCTCGCGTTTCACACTTCTGAGTCAGAGGATAGGGGAGGGGTCCCCCGAACAAAACCTTACATCCTCCCACTGCTTTGTAGGTCAGACTTTAGAGTCAAGAGCTCAAGGTGACGTAAGTCAACCATACCTCTTTCGGCCTGGGCTAACCCGCAAGCGTTATTCGCCCTTGCAGCTCTTTGCTCACCGCAACTACCCATCTATCAAATGATTCAGTGGGATCAACACATCTGCCAGTCCCTTAGTCATTATCCCGTATCTAACTATCGCCCAGCTCACCGCAACTACCCATCTATCAAATGATTCAGTGGGATCAACACATCTGCCAGTCCCTTAGTCATTATCCCGTATCTAAACTATCGCCCAGAAAAGTAATCCAAAATAATCACTTGCCTCAAAGGTTTTGAGCTCGTTACAGCCTTCAATGTCTTTGTTTCAAACTGCACAACAGCCTCTCTCTCCGTCAATGCATGCTGTGTCTCCGTAACATGCATACATACCACTTCGTTCATGAATTGCAAGCCGCTTAGGACGAGCTCACTCTTTGAATATCTGGTGTGCCTGACGTAATAGCTCGTGGTATTTGTAGTGCAGGAGTTGGATTCGGCCCCAAAGCTAAGTGTCTTGGTGGACTGGGCCCCAGTGAACAGCTGTCTTTGAGCTGTGCGGTTGTCTGGATTCATACAAAACAGTCAATACGTGTCGATGCGGTAAACAGTATCCACCTGACGTATCAGCACAGGTCCCAACAGACTGCAGTTCTGAGACTGCGAAAGGCGTGTTTTATTAAGGTCTGTCACGGCTGCTTTAGTCTGCAAGATAGACAGATGTTAATGCTGGCGGGTGATACTAATACCCAAGTTGGGCAACTAGGCTTGGAAGATACACAATTAGGTGGTGGAGTCTGTGCTCAGCGTACGGATAATGCGGAGCGACTGCTTCAGTTGTGTACGGATCATCGTTTGTTCCTTGCCGGTGCAAGCTTGCAGCCCAAACTGCCGCATCGATTTACTTGGAGGCCACCAACTGCTAGAGAGTCATGAAGCCATTCGGGCCATGTGGCTATCAGTCACCGATGGAGAGCCTCATCTTAAGATTGTTCCTGTCGTGATACGAAGCTTGACTCTGATCGTACCATTGCATGACCGCGTCTTCACTTCGCTTTCTGTCAGTATTACGCGTGCCAAAGCGGAGCAGTTCTGTTCATTGACTTCGACGAGTTTCAGTTACTCAAATGTAGTGAGATGATGTAGCGAGATGGCTTAAGTGGTTAGAGTGTGGATTTACTGACCCGAAGGTCCGTGGTTCGAACCCCACTTCCGCCTCTCGACTTCCCCTGTCTTGGCTTGGGCAACCTGGCAGTATCTCAGCCCTCGTGCTTCCTTCGGGTGGCATGGCACCTAGGCACCGAAAGGGTGATACAGCTGAACAATTATTTTACATATTATTAGTGAGGTGATCTGAGTGGAAAGCTACTGGAAAGTCATGCGGATGACGAAGACTGCTTGGAGGCAGAGTGGAAGCAAATGAAAGCAGCTCTGCTCTCAGCTATGGGACTGCGAAGGGCGGGTTATGTGAGACCTGGTGCTGTCCTGTCGCAAGCATCCTGAGGTACCCACACCTTCGAACGCTTAGTCAGACACTCTGAAAAGAAACTGACAGCACAGACACCACCGTTTCTTGCAATATATCTAGACGAGCGCAGGAGATGTCACGGGGAACCCCATCCCGCATGGCGTGCCGCACCAACAGCAAGCGGTGGGTAAGGGAGTTGTCTCTTAAGAAGGTGGTTTGTCGTATGGCATCTATATTTTTTTCCTCTTCTGGATACCGAAGAAGTCAGTGTTCTATATGGCAGTAGCCCCTGACCGATGTGATCAAGCGAAATCCAATGTAGCTTCATCTCAGTTTACATTATCGCAGGCTATTTGACATTCTAGTCAGCAGAAAGGGTACGCAAATTCCGATGGCATTGGTCATTACGTTACTCATGTTCGTTACAATTACTCAACAAATATGGAGTGAAGGTATCACTTCTAGTTGATATATAAAATATGTAAATGGTTGAAGATAAGAGTTTACCAAAAGTTTCATTTTTCTGGTTTGTTTGGTTTAACACATAGATCAGGAAGCGCTTAAATGTGCGGAAACAGCAGCTCTGTTGGGTACATACAGATTCGTATCGAATTCAGCAGGATCGGAAAAATCTATCCACTGTTATGAAATTGTACGTTAGATAGCTTGTTGTGAACACAAACAGGCAGACAGCGTACGCCTTGAGTCCCAGGAAAAACCATAACAACATCTAAGGATAAACCTCACTCAACGTGTAAATTCATTACTAGTAGCTGAAACGATAAACAAAATGTATGCCTGACAGAACTGCAGATCATCTGATCTATTCGTTTAGTGCTCCGTTGCTGTGGGGAAATTTGGAAAGTATATTAACGTGCTGTCATAACCGGTTTCTAATTGGCGTATGTATGTTAAAGTGGACTGCCTTTTTTCACGAGGATGCTGTATGCAAAGAGTATCAGACACGTCGCTACATCTCATCTGATGCCCATTTCTACGCTAAACCCGGTTGCTGAGTTTTGAGTGTGGGTAGTATGTTGCACTATGGAAATACGGTTAAATAGCGCAGTATCTAGTCAGTAACCTAGGGTTGGAAAACACGTGTATGATGGTCAGTCTTTGCTAAGTTACTGGCCTACGTGCTGTTTTTCGCAGAATAACACCATCTTCGTACGACCATATGCTAACTTTTTGAAACTAGTCTCTATAGTTGGGTTCCCATCTTTTTCGTTGAGTGGACACCCCCGCCCAATTCGAAGGAGATGTGGTGCTTGCATTGCTCCAAGTTATTTGGCAAAACTGACCAAGCGGTCGAATTGTCTGTTTCCACTTACCACAGTTTAGTAGCATCTTCCTAGCTAATTATGGGTAAGTAACGGTTACTTTTGAAGGTAATCTTCAACAAAATTGATGTAATCATTCACATGGACCATGGTGTTTGTGAAACGAATCCAATGTCTTGCTTTAGTCAGCCGACAGTTCACCACAGTATGGTTCTTTGGTAACGTCTGCTCGTTCGCCCAGTATGTTAACCTCCGTCGTGGCCTGAAATCAATCCTCACAATGTGAGAGGACATGAGACAGTAAAATATTCGTGTTCTTGGAACAGTTTTTGCTTCATTCGTTCCTCATACTTGGACACACTATCCATTTTTCCAATTTCATGCTTTTTCACGTTCCAGGTCAGCTTTCTTTTGCTACTTAATACTCACATAGTGGGTTTGAAGTTTCCTAACTCATAATGCCGGGGAAGCGCCCATCTGCTTCGAATTCCTCAGTGGGTCCGACACCTAAAATGTAAGTTTTGTAATGCCTTTGCTCTTGAATGAATTCCAAAGATCGCATTTCATACCCGGGGGCTTTTTAATTCTTTGGTTTCATGCACTTTTTCGGGAGACCACTTCGGATAAGTCCTTCTAAACGGCCCCGAAGGGACAAACGCACCTGTCTTACAAGACCTTAACTTGTAGCTGTTAGTGAAGCCACCTAACCTGGCAAAGATACAGACTAATTATTCACCGGCGGCATCCACTTGCGCATCATCATCGGAGATTGAGTGACTAGCTTGATTTTTTCGTCTTTGTCGAAGGCAATACCTCCCATCATCTCCGCTTTTTACGGTTACATTTTCAAAGTAGTGAATTCTCAATCCGGTGAAGTGTGGCCAATAAACAGAAACGACTGATCTCACAACTGCACTCTACTTTGTCCATATCGATGGAAGCATGATTTCATCTGGAACTGACCGTATTCGTGTTGATTGATGTCATTGACTAGCGGTCTTCCCGGTCCTTATAGCTAAGTTTATCCTACCCTATGGCCAGCCCCATCCTCCCGCTGTCGTGGTGCCGTACTCCTTAGGAGTTCTTAGCGAATCAAACTAGCTAGCGAAGAAGCCGGGACCACTCTCTGGTCAGTAAGCTTACTCCCTGACCTTTCGAAGGTCAGATAACACTAAAGTGACAATTGTCCTTAATTTCCCTATCGATGCTGCTGAAACTATGTGATTTGTCAAAAATGTCGGCCCTCACTTAGTAGCAACTGCTAAATCATCCCATTGGGTAAGGAGAGTCTGTGTGGTGGGCCAAAAAATTTCCGTGTGCTTGCCAGTCGAGCTATATTAAGGATCGCTAACCAAATACAAAGTGGTTAGAAAACGACTAGCAAAAGGGGCAACAGTGGTGCATGTGGTTCGTTACTTGTTGCGTCACTTAGTTGGCGTGGCTATTCGTGTCTGTAACCACCGGACTGTGCATATGCTGTATATCCGACGTCCTCCATTCAATTGAACACTATTTGTATGACCTTTTGGATGGAGCGCGGTTTTACCGTGAGCACTGTGTATCGACGACAGGATTTTCCTGGGTTGCTGTTTTCATTATTTTACTCTTATTGGTACATGTTGACAAAAGCGTCCAACGACAGGTGGAGAGTCGAATTACGAGTGCTTGCAGTTCTACCTTATATATCGCGATATGTTATAGGACAGCTTGCCTCGCGTTGTCTTCGCCTAACCGTGTACTGAATGCAGTAGATCTAGGTGCAGCTAACCCATGATACGCTAACGAAGCTGTTGCCTACCGCGTGTAACTCTCCTACTCCATGCTTCGCCTGACAAAACGAGCAAATTGAATGTTGTCTCCATTGTGTGGCTCTCATTCCCTTACTCTCCTTATCCTCAGCGAGTAAAACTATGACAGCTGGATCCATCATACCTTGTTACGGGATCCATAGCTCTATACAGCACGTATCCTCTTTGTTGAATCATAGTCACCCTACCTCTCTATGGGTAAAATTATCAGATCTCAGCTCCACGAAGGTACTTGAATGCTTCGTTTTGGTACAGGATATATTGCATCGATTACTGTTGTCGTTCACTGCCCATGGAAGGCATTGTCCAACCTAACTATTTTGCACGTCTGCGTTTGATGCAAAACAATCGGTTTGCAAGAAGGTGACCAAAATGTCACTCGCGTTTCTTTCCTGATTTTAATCAACGAAGCGTCCTGCGTGTCCGATGGATTGGAAGCGATGTGCTGAGCTGCATATTTGGTCTATGGCTCATGGATTACGACGCTGGACAATTGTACGAGAGCGAACCACGTACGATAGACAATCACAAATGCGTTTTGGATTTTGTCTGAACAGTTCCCCCATTCTGATGTAATTGTTATGGTCAGGCCATGGTGTAGTAACCTCTCCTTGAGGAAATCTCTTGGCGATCCCTAAATCTGTCTTTGTGGGAGGATGGTCACTATGAATTTTGCACTCAGGTACTAAATTTTCATTTTATTTAGATGTTTCTCCCGGGAGTAGGGGGACAGGGGAGAGGCCTGAGGTGAATGTTTCAAATGCTGTTGAACATTCAGGATTCATACCTACTAACACAACGTTTGTGGTGAAGACTGTGAAGACATATTCGTATGGAACAACTAATACAATCACGCGTATTGGACGAGTGAATTGTTTTTTCATCCTTCAGCCGTATTGGCGTTGGTCAGTTCCAAATGGCAAATCTCTCAACAAACGGTGCTGTCTGTGTACTCAAGGCTAACTTATCAGTTAACTCAAGTCAGGGCAAATCTAAAAGAATTCATTTAGAGGACGGGTAAGCGCAGTAGCTGTATCTATTACACAGACTTTTCTAGGTGATATTCAACTTAAGCATTTTGGTAGGTGGGATAGGGCATTCCCAATAGGGAGCCTACTTTTTGATTTCTGAAATTCGTTTTCCTGCGTAACAGACTGTCTAAATTGATTGCTTTTAGCTGCTACATATTAGGTACAAAGCTGTTGTAGCAGTTTACCATAATGACCAACTGTGTCCGATCGCTCAGGCGGTGGAGGCCTTTAGTGGCGAAAATTTTTAGTGGGCGTGGACAGCAATCACCGTAATTAACGATGACTCCCAGATATCTGAATTTACGGTAATGATACGGCGAAACTTTGAAGGATGATATGCGTTGATGTGTACTTCGGAAGAACAATAGGTTCCTCTATTTCTTAGCTTCTCTCCATGCATATTTGTCTCTGTTACTGGAATTACCCTCACTACATAGCACTTTTGGTTCGGTCTTTGAGTTCTTTATTATTAAGCCTATCCACTAACGTTATCTAAAGAGGGCTAAACTTCAGTACACTTGGCTTCCGATCGTCTTGGGATCAAACCCAGTGAGCATTTAGCGTGTTGTACAGATATTTAGCCCTGAAATGTAAGGAAACCCTGTTCGTGAGCTCCTTACCCTGGTCTTTGCCGAGGATGGGATCTGCGTTTCGAGAGGTGATTGTGCTTATTGAAATTTGATGGGCCGCCCCTCAATAGGTAATAATTCTAGCCCGTCGCGAAACAGACCGTAGCCTTCCTAGTTTGGGGGTCTTTCTTGGCGAGCTTACTAGGGAACTAAAGTGTTTTATAACCATTTTCTTGTACAGGCTTCAAACCACTCTGGTTCCCCCACAACTCAACGGTAACGGCCAGATCAGTAGATTTTGGGAAGTGACCAAATCTTTACTGATCTACACACATCCTGATTGCAAATCCAGTTCCAAGGTAAATTCATATACTTTCATATGCTGGACAAAATCTCCGTAGATCATGGGTTTCGACATGGACGGAACCCTCATCACGACGGCTTCTGGTAAAACCTTTCCAAAGGATGCAAATGACTGGAAGTACGTTGTTCCCTACCATGTAAACCCACCAAATAACGTGGTACTCATCAAGGTTGCTAAATGACCGGGTTGTCAGCAAACTCAAGGAGTACCACGCTCAGGGTTTTAAGATCGTCATTCTCTCTAATCAGGTGAATTTTCAATCTTATTCTATGACTTGTATATTTGGTGACCGCTAGTCAGGCATCACAATGGGTTATCTGGACGTAGCTGGATTCCAGCGAAAGTTTGAAAGCATTGCATTTAAGCTGACTGTGCCCCTGCAGGTATGCTTTCCTTCAGTGTTCATCTTGACTAGCTTTTTGTCTTAGGCATTCTTCTCTCTCTTGTCGGATCGAAATCGGAAACCAATGATCGGTATGTGGGAACAGCTGGAAGAGAAGGGGAACGACGGTATACCAATAGACAAATTGGCATCAATTTATTGTGGTGGTAAGTTGGGTATCGTAGACAAATTGGTGTTCCATTTCGTTGGTTTTCCTCCAGGCATTCCGTTGGCGCCTTTGTTTACCTGACTGTTGCCTGTCACTGTTAGGACAATGTCTGGATCACAAGACATGCGGTAAAGTTTTTCACATCCATTCATTTTTTTTCGAGGGCTACCTCTACTCGGACGATAAGATCCCCGTAAGCTTGCTGTATCGTTTCCATCAAATCATGTTACCGTGTTTTCTCCTAGGATAATAATGGAAGCATTGTTTCTGTTTACTTTATCGAATTGCGATCACTCCCTGCTGATTAGAATGTTAGCTTTCCCACATCTGTTGCAAGTATCTTCCGCGAAAAAGATGTGCTCCGTAGAAACGGTTCGAAGGGAATCTGGCAGGAGGATATAGGTGCCTTCATCCACATTGTACTTGCTTGAGGTACTTGAAACAAATTCCAGGGCGTTCTTAATGATATTTATAATGATGAACATATAGATTTTGCACCCCTTCCGTGCATATCTGCCTTGCCATCCAAAGAAAGCACGAGACACCTTCAGTTTGCCAAGGCCTTGACAAGAGCAGTTGAGATGCCGGCGTTGGGTTTAAATCACGAACCTTCCGGCCATTCGGTTGGCCTTTAACAACCGGACCATAATGAGCTCCCCAGGACATTCCTATATTCGACATATCATCAGCAGTATGCTGTCAAGCATCAACCAAAACTCCAGCCATCGTCATTTCGGAAAATAAATACGATCCACACCTACTGATTTAACACTAGGATGACCACCTACTGATTCTTGACCGCATACTGTATTCAACTACTGATGCCTCTAACGGCCTACGAATAGGCCACAGTCACGAGTTTGCTTGTATTCAGGGCCTAGTGGTAACATAGAAATCTAGCTCTCAGAAGAATATGGGACCTTGTTTTGACGAGTTTAGTGTTGTTTTCCCCCTTCGTTGTTGTATTTTCATGTGTTTTGTCCTGGAAGTGAATGAAATCTCGTGAAAGTTTTAGTGCGAACTAATTTCCATCTCGCAACTTTGACCTCCCACTTTTCCCTATGTCCGCGTGTGCTTTGAAAAAGTAAGGACCGCTACGGGAGTCAATGGTTTTCCGACCACTGCTTGTCGGACACACGAAAAAGTGCCGGTATATACAGTGGTCCCTTCAATAGGGCCTTCCTCGGGACCTGACTACAGTGACCCCTTCTGGGTGCCCTATTCGCGGGACTCGACCAAACCCCATTTTGTACGAATAGGCAGAGTAAACTCCAGGTCGACCACTCACCTTTTTTAAGAAATTCGTTGTCCGTTTATATTTCTTATCATCCTTCCACTATTTGACCGCGTTCGGAATAAAGTCCTTTCACAGGACAGTGTTAGAACTCTAAATTTGTTCCTGCAATCTCCTTGATTCAAACAAGTATTCTGTAGTCTTCCGCGTCGTCCAAACATCCTTTTGATTGCCATTCGTTGTCTTGCCTTCCTTTGAAGCAGTTTGATTCGTTGCTTTTCGCACATGTCTAGCACCATGTAAGGGACACTTCTCCGATAAAATAGTACATATAAATTCCCTAATAAACCAATACTAACGTACCTGCCACTTGTCACTTGTCAAACGCAATCCACAACAAGAGGGAGTAACGTCCACCTCATACCTCATAGTCGTGTCTTGAATTCACTGTCGATTTTTGAAAAAGTGTAAAAACAGCCTAAATTATCGGCATCCTGGTGCTTTTCCGCCTTCATTTACCCTAAAAAGACGGCTTGATAGCCTTCTGCTGGGGTTAAGGGTTATCTACCCCACCAGGGGGTCTTTGGCGCATTCGCAGGCAAAGTAATCATCCCTACGTTTACCATATGGATTTAGTGTTGTGCGAATTGGAATGCACAAGATCTTCAGGAAACGACATTCAGTGATTACAATGACTTCATCACTTTTCGGCGATGCCGTAATCCTAATCGCTTAAGATTAGCTCAGTAGTGTCTCGTGACGCCTCTCCGATGGATCTTCATTTGAGGAACATTTTATTCCTCATGATATTATTGTCTGTGTATGTCATCTGTATTACCAGTCACACAACTGAGCTTTCGCGTAGTGATGGAGCCCGCAAAAACAATTGCCGCTAAACTGGCAGACCGTGGTATTACACCCTTGTGTATAGAAAGTTGTGTTGCCAAGCTCGTTAGGAGGTAACATCATCATCAGCTGCAAGACGCGTGCACTTGCTGTACAGTGGTTATAGCCATCACAGTTTCGTTCACCGAAAATTTTTGGGAGATGGAATAGGTAGCTGCCTACTGAAGTTGGTAGCTGATATAAATGATGCGTAAACACAGGATCGTCTGTGGACTTTTAATTGGGGAGACTGGTAGTGGAGAGATAAATACACCAGCGCCATTGAGGGCGCGACTGGGCCATGTCCAGCAATGCCTCTAACCATTGGTATGCCCCCTCTTGGGTTCCCCATCCAGGGAGACGGCAATGACCACCAGAGCTCAGTTTGCTGGTAGTGACTTTCATACTCATAGTTTGACCTCCACTGACTCGTTTGCGCCCTTCACGTGGTTGTGCAAAAAAAGCCCCCTGAGGAAGTCGGTCGACTAGCATACGGAGAGTGTGGCCAAGGCAACACAACCTACGCAGTTTGATCAGTTCATCTACCTTAGGCAAGTTATTCCTACCGAAAGTCGTTCGACTCACTTCAACATTGGTAATCCGGTTTTCCCACCAGACTGAGGCAATACTCCGAAGACATCGATGGTCAAACACTGAAAGTCTTCTGAAGTCTTCAGTGTTTAATGACCAGGTTTCTGACCCATCTAATAGTATGGAGTGCAGCATAGCATTGTAAACTCGACCCGTGACAGATAAGCTGATGTCATGCCTACGCCACAGGTAATGCGGGTTCACAAAAGCTGCTCTAGCCTTTCCAATCCGGATAGAAATATCGTCTTTTGCGTGACCACCAGGACTGGCACAGCTGCTCATGTAGACAAATTTGTCTACTATTTCAATCTTTTCATCCTCAATCATCAGGTTAGGGTTTGAGCCCACTCAATCTTGGAGCAGCATAGAGGTAAACTTGACCTGCGGACGTTGTAGCTCAAGCTAGCCGGCTAACAATATACTGGCGTACCAAATGGTATTCAGATTTTGGAAGAGTTGGTTCTTTTCGGAGGAGGAGTCAGATCAAAAGTACCACAAATTTTTCGATTCCTTTTTCCGTTTTGGGGGGAGGTGTGTGGCATTTTCCCAATAGTGAATTTCATCGGACGGAGGGAAATATTTCAGGAGGTTCGGTCGTTTTTTATTTCGTCGATTCTACCACCAGATCTTTTGTGTTAACTATACCCCTATAGCTGGTCTACACTGCTCAGGCTACCTCATATTTAATCCCATTCACAATCTGTCTTCAGCTTTTCTCGTTTTTTATTCGATTTCTAGATGCTGCTGGTCGTCCAGCTGAGGGTTCACGTAAAAAGGATTTCTCTTGCTCCGATCGCTTGGTGAGTTGGTTGCCTTATAATTCCTCCATCTGCTTCGTTTCTTATTAGTAGTCAGCGCAAGTCTCCTCCATTTGCCTGGCTAGTCATTAGAATAAAATTTTCATTTAGGACTGTACAACTGTGCTGACTGGTTGAATATCAACCCTCGAAGGGTGTGATCTGGCGCTCAGTAAACTAATATCGTATGTAAGTTATCAACTGTATGGGCTCATGTGATTCTGATGGCTATCAGCACGCTCCAGAAGAGAAGGGCATCGCATATATTATATGCATCGCTTGCCCTACGACACTTCTTCAGTCTTAAGTGTACTTATTCGGGCCGTCCAGCTGTAGCACCTTTTCGGCGCCTAGCTGCCACGCCACACGAAGGAGGCATGAGGGCTGGGATACTGCCAGGTTGCCCAAGCCTAGACAGGGGAAGCGTTCAGCTGTAGCACCCTTCCGGTGCCTAGCTGCCATGCCACCCGAAGGAAGCACGAGGGCTGGAATACTGCCAGGTTGCCCAAACCTAGACAGGGACGTCGAGTGGCGGAGGTCGGATTCGAACCACAGACCTTCCGGTCAGTAAATTCGTGCTGTAACCAATTGGTCCATCTCGCCGCATTTCTTACTCAGCTATGGTGCCACTTCTATCATAGATGAATGCCAACTGTCTTGTAAAAAGGATTCTACAAAATAAAAATGCTTCTGCAAAGAGAAAAGGTTCTGAAGTAACAATGACTCCACCTTTCCCAAGAGGGGCACATTTTTGCCCACCAAAGTCCGCGAATATCCTAGGCATCACAGTGATTGAGCGCAAATATGCGCCCGAACAGACGCTTTTTCCTAAAGCTATCAGGTCGGCCCCACTACTGATACGGCGTGTTGGTTATTTATGATAAATAGTTTGACGATGATCTGCTAACTTACTCAGCTAACTTACTACACAGCAGAGGTTGGATGGCACCGCTTCCCCTTTATTGAGCTTCCCCATAGCTCGGTCTTGGCGTCCATCTACACAGCAGCGACGCAGTAAGTGGGGTCTAATTCAATCGTCACTGGCGTGGTTGTTTTGCGCCGGTCGGATTTCATAGAGGTAGCTTCGATAGCTCTCCTTATCTTTCTAATAACAGATTAAGAGTGCATATAAACCATTCAAAGTTTGTCGCATTAGTCCCACGTTGCACAGGACAAACACACATGGAGTTGTATGCAATTTCACGGGTTTTTCGTTGTCAGAATTGTTTCAGATTTGGTTGTTTCGTGAATGCCGTACTTGATCAGACGCGATCATTCACTTATTCGTAAGCATATTACGAGGTGGGTAAGTCCTTAGTGTATTTCAATCACAGTATTCTCTCTGTGATTGATGTGGGTAAATTCAATCGCACTAGAAAGGTAATCGGAAAGTGGATGTGTATATGGTGTCCTACTGTTGATACTGGCGTGCACAGATACTCAGTGGAATTAAAGACAAAGGTGCCACGGCGGATCCGCGAGATAGACGAAACACCGCATCATGTTTAGGTAGATTGTTTGCCAAGCCCGATTAGCTTTTGTTCCGTTGAGCATCGTTTGGTCCTAATCACTTCCATTTTTTTGATCAGTTTGCTCTAAACGTTGGATTGCCCTTTCGAACTCCCGAGGAACTTTGGTACGGTCAACCAGCTCCGAAGAATTTTGTTTTGCCCAAATTCAACCCACACTCTGTGCTAAAAGAAGGTTCGGGGACCAAAATGCCCCCTCTGTCACGACCTAAAACTCCGGAAATTATCTTGATGGTAGGCTATCCTGCTTGTAAGTTTCCACAACTGCTTGCTTGTGCCCATTGGTCTTCAGAACTTTATTGGAATGCACAGCCCAGTTATTGACTCAGATGTGCCATAGACTAAGGTCTACTAATTCTTCATCCTAACCTAACAATATGATATTTACCCCCAAGGCTCGGAAACATAAGCTCACATATGAGCGAGGAATCACAGTTGCTGCCAACGATACACTTTTGCTCATGTAATAGCTTGCGTATATGTATGTATAGAACAGACAGGACAGTGTTGTGTAGTCTCTTTAGGATGAGCATATCTCAGTGTGCTGGAGTTTTCATCTCCTAGGGGTCCATCTAATCGGAGGTATGTTAAAGTAAGCTATAACAAGATGGTTGTGTACTTCAAGATATGGTCTTCTCTTGTTTTGGAAGACTGTCGTATTTCCTGGTGGATTTAGGTGAGTGTTGCACTCAAGAGCATTCCTAAACAAATTTGGTCATTTTTTCTGACGTGCCTCAGAATGTGGACTGACAAAGTCGCCTTCGACTGATAGTATGTGATTGTGTAATTCCTTTTCCAGCTCATGCCCACGTATTAAACGATAAAAATAATTGCCAATTGATCAGGTGGCTGTTGATCTGTTCGCCCTGCACCCAATCAGTTACCGATTAATGCACCAGAGCTACCAATATTCCAGCACATTACCGGTAAAAAATATAAAATCCGTTACCAAGTGTAGCCAACCTAGTTGTTAAATATTTTACTGGCCGTTTGATACGGGTTACACGTTCTCTCTTCTGTTTTAGCTGGAAAGTCGTATTTTTGTCAGAAGACGCTGGCACCATTGGGTTATACAGTCGTGAGCAGAGTAAGTCCGAATAAATCACTCAAAGTTTATGGCACGAGCCTGTAACGACACCGACCCCACCAGAAAACACACTTACTTGATTCCTTCAGTTTCTCCAGAAGGAGACAACTGTATCCACGAGGTGGTTGTAGAGCTAACCCATAGGGACCTATCAACGTCTCCAGATGATCCATTACGGTGCAAGATAAGTTTTATGAGACCGACAGTTTATTATTCTGATGATGCCCTCGCCGAATGGGGATAACTTTATTTCCATGTGATTCGCTTCTTAGCAGTAAACCACGATACTAACAGGAAATATTTTGTAGATGGGTTGGCTTATTCGTGTCGTACTGGTGTGTGATGCCCAGCTGCTCATTTCAGTTACCCGTCAACGGAACAAATGAAGATATCCTGCTTTGGGTATCATAATAGAACAACTATCAAACTCCTCACTAGGTACTCGCAATCGTAAGGGTACATAGCGGCAAGTTCACTCGTCGTTTCTCGTTGTGTACTAATGATATCTCCATTGGTATTGTCACCACATTCTCCAGGTGGCTGCTCGACGGTATATTATGTACTGTCTCCAACTTCACAGCGTGGTGAACTGTTTGCTTTTTTGATTGGTGCTCGCGGGACCTTCACATAGAATCACAACTTGGCACAATATCTTCCATATTGTTTTCGCACACACACTTGCTATCCCATGACTTCGATATGAAGTCTAACCCAGTGAGCTTGTAGAGCGTCTGTTCAGTAGCTTTTGCCATATGGTGAGTAGTCTTTTCAGAAGATTGGCCCCTAAACCCTAAGAAATATGCACAGGTTGGAAATTTGCCTCAGATAACAAAGCGCCAAGCGAGCCTCCGTTCCACCGGTTACTTCAATGTTCCGTTGTTGCGAAATCATACCACGAAGTGGGCTATAAGTGCACAGGAGTCATACTTCAAGAAAACTACCTTCGTTCTGGTACACAGATTTGCTCCAACGACTTGGACACCTTAATTAGGTATCATTACTACCCGTCAGTTTGGTTTCCTCCAGTAAAGAAGTCGAGTCGAAAGTCGTTCAGCTGTAGAACCCTTCCGGTGTCTAGCTGCTATGCCACCTGAAGGAAGAATGAGGGCAGAGATGCTGTCAGGTTGCCCAAGCCTAGATAGGGGAAGTTAGGAGGCAGAGGTCGGATCCGAACCATGGACCTTCCGGTCAGTAAATTCACGCTGTAACCACTGAGCCATCTGGCCCCTCCAGTACTTGCTCCCTGTGCGTCTTCATCGATGATTACAAGTGGTCTGACTCGAACACTTGACCGGACCACCTCAACCTTCTGAGAAGAAGCGGCCACGAATAAACCCGTCCGATGATCGTACCCTTACATTGCACTACGCGCTCCATTGTCAAATTATTTGCCACTCCCACCCTCGCTGATGCACTCGATATTGTTAAGCTCACCCATCTTACTGCAACTCGAGTGACTTACCGACCTTTTGTGTTCCCTTCACCGACTGTCTGGAACTTCGCTTTGAACTCTATCGCCTTGTGGAAGCCACTCATGTTCAAATCGACCCGTTCACCTTATTCCATCTTGTCAAATTCTATAAGAAGAGGGTAATGGGGTGCGAAACCAAACAGCTGGATGAAGTCAAGCGTCCGGGAACGGACGCTGGCATCTTACTCGACATGATGCTCAAATGTGCTTACTTCATTGCTGTTTGAAACGGTATACGCCTTATTTTATGAGCTTTTTGTTCTGAGTCCCCATTCTCTCCCACATGGGGTAGTTTGGTGGTTAAGTGTCATTATTTACGCCGATGTTCATCTCCTGCGGGGAACGTGCGTTGCGATTTCGCTGCGATCATTTTCTGCGTGACCTTTCTATTGAACGTTAATTGCTGTAGCCTAAGTAACGTCGAACCGCATAGGTGCATACTCTGAAAGTGGCCATATTGAATAGCGAACGAAGGTTACCCATCAACTTCTTTTGTTCGTGTGATAAATATACAACTTTGAAGATGGGCTGAGCTCATCATCCTAGAATCAGTAGCGTGACTATATCACGTGACGACTGTCCGACTCTCACTCCAATTAAATTTCCTAAAACCCACATTTTGGGCCATGCTGACGAGTCTTTTGGATTCAGATAAAGGTTTCATAGCTCTCTAGCAGTTGGAAAGTTAAAGACGCTGAGCCGTTGTGATTAACAAGTAGTATATCATTTTTGGTAAGCGCCGTTTGAGGCTCTAGATCGGCTGTCTAGTGAATTGAAATCTATTCAGTTGGTGATATTGAGTGGTTATGAGCAGCAAGAGTTCATAATTCGCACCTTGATGGCTCTCAAGAGGTTTTTCTTTGAGTCATATCTGTCAAGTGTTAATAAAGCCACGTTTTCCGTTAACATCTCAGCTGCCTTTTAACCGGGGGTAGATCAAATTAGTTAAGTTATCATTTTCATGGAATAGCTGGCTTAACATCCAGTTTTCCTAGTAATAAACCGAAACATACCTTTATTTGCGGGATGCACTGAAGCCACTGTAAGGTCCGGACGTTTATGGATCTCACAGGACGATTGCGACTATTAGCCAGTAGTCAATAGGAGCAGACAGACGTGGGGCAGCAGATGATATATTGAGGACTGACAGGAACTGGTTCTACAGACAAACGGATCAGTAAGCATCATGAATTAAGCAAACATACAATCAACAATGACGCAATCAGCAGGAGCGGGAAGTAGTCACTGACGCAGCACGGATTTCTATAGGGGCAACATACATACAGGGGCAGTCTGACAGTGTGACTTGGCCGTAACGCCGCAGGAGTCAGTACGTTCGGGATGTGAGGGACTGTCTTTCGGTCGGCGTCGACGCAGCCGCTCGTGTCGCGCGACAGGTCAGATTGCGCGGTTTCGTCCGTTTAAAACAAAGCTCAGCAAAGCCTATATCTGGCAGGCGTGATACATGGGTAATACAAAATAATCAGCCCTTCGGACGTTAGTTCGATCCAGTTGGTAGCGCGTTCGCTTGCCGTCCGGAGGGTCCGGGTTCGACACCCGGACGGTGACCTTCTCCATCGGAGTGGACGCTCAAAATTGGTGCAATCGAGACAAAGTTGCAGGCAATGACAGACGGGTAACAAAATGTTGACATCGATTACTGAGTTATAAGCAGTTACTCATGAGTAGTCAGAAAACAAGGAAAGTTACCCCTGTTCACCGTTGATTCACAGGGGGAATCAACAGCCACTTTAAACTGAAGCTCGGAGGATTGATGCATCATCCACATCAGAGACAACAACATCACTCATACCTCACTGCCGTACAACCACAAAGTTTATGTAATTGTATTTAAGGCCTTAGAGTGTGGGGGGAGTGGACCTGATACTGACTGATCATAAGCATTCTGAGATGCTTACACCTCCAAGCACTCGGTCAGACAATGTGACAGCATAAATGCCACCGACAATGACCAGCAGCCATTTCTTGCAGTTTCTGCCAAACGTAGGAAAGGTCATAAAGAATCCATCCTGCAAAGAGTACCCCACCAAAAACACCCGAACCTCTTTCAAGCCCTTCTGCCAAGTACGACATTGTACACCTCGTGGTTTGTGCCATTCCAAAGAGAACATGGAGAACAACACTCGTTCTGGCAAATAGTGTTTCGAAATGCGTAGCACATGGCTGAGCCGCCGCAGTTGATGGTGTTGGATGTTTTCCGCGGCTGAAGTACCTGCCGCACAACCAAATACCTATTTTCTAGTTACCTCGTTACGAATTTTTCGACGCCATCCGACACCAGCAATGCGTTTTTCGTATCGGTGGTCAAAATATAAAGGCGCCTCACATCTGCCCGCGGTGACCTAGCAACCATACAATACAGCCGTTGCTGTAGTCTGATGCATACGATCCTTGAGACCCAGTGATATAACTTTTTACGCCACAAGTGAGGCAAATTAACAAACATGATTCGGGCGTTTGAGATTCGTGCATTCATTCCATCAGGCGCGCTCCCGTCAGAGCCAAGCCAACCACTAAGGTACATTTTCCGGTGATTCCCCTTGAGTTGATACATTAAACTCCTTGTTACACCCAAATCTCAAGCACCGTTCAGTGAGTGAGTGAGTGATATGCGAGCAATCTTTATTGAATGCTCAGACGATCAGGCGGATAAATCATCTGACTGGCACGTGGGTTCAATTTGGAGTAACAACTGATATCGACCTAATTGAAGGTGGAGGATTTATGACAGCAACAACAAGTCAAGACTGACTGCCTTCAAGACCTGTTTCCGCTCTATGCAGCAAGTATTACAGTGATACTAGTATGTGAGTGTTTCAGGTAGGCTGGTCTGTTGTTGACATAACGTTCGACAACCGTGAGTTTTCAATGAGCAAAACTTGCGCGATGTCTCTGTAGAGATTTTGATGAGTTTATTGGTGGGAAAAGTCTGATAGCGAACGAAATGGTACACGTTTGGTAAATATACTCATCACAATGCTCAGCAGTCGCTCAGAACCTACCGTTACTGAATCACAGTTGATCTGAGTTGATCTGTCTTTATAACTGTACATGTTACAGGTAGTGGATGAAAGCAATGATACTTGCAGGAATGAACGCTAATCAGGTAATAAGGTAGAACTGGCAAAGGCGAAGGAAGTCAGTTACTGATTGGGACATTCTTACAACAAGCTCTTTTTTCAGCGGCTCTCTGAGTGCTGCACTGAGGATACACATCCGGAATAGCTATCTGAACAGTCGTTTAAGAAAGCAATAGGTAGATATAGTTAGTGGGCGTTCAGTGGCCTGTCACAAGCCATCAGTCGGTCTAAACATGATGGTGTAACGATGAGCACCATCACTGCTTGTCTGTTTGTCATCAAAGTACCAGCGTCGTCCGTCAGTTCTTTCAACTTCTAACCGAACCTTCCCCAACATACCACTATGGAGGTTACTGGGGACCGCCCAGTAACCCACCGTCAATGCGGTAATGGGTAACATTCCATTAAGTTTGCAGTTATTAATGCCGTCACCCTTTAGGATGACAATATCAGGCGGGTAGTCGTCAGAAAATGGAATGATTATGTAATATCGTATAATACTGGGATATTCAAATCCCGATTTGATCCGATGGGGACAACTGGGGCTGTCTACTCATGACTTGTTCCCGAATATGTATCGCCCACTGACCCGGTTCTTCACAGCGTTTATGGCAGATATTGCTTCACGTTTAGGGTAAGCAGCCTGTCTGAGTCTCCGACGCACCCCAGCTCTCACTGAAACGGGAGTCTGGGTCGAACCATTTGGTTGGGACTTCCACCTTTCAGGCATTCCCTATTGGGTAGCATCACTGTATGCGCACATCTAGTTGGGACAGACAAAAACAGTTTTGCGACAGTAGTTTCCAACTCAAAGCCATGTGGATTAACTCTTCTAACATATTACCTTTCTTGACTTCAGGATGTGTTAGGAACCTGGCAAAAATGCGTGAAGGCATGTGAAGAGGCCGTAGCTAGGCGTACTCCAGTCGCTGTGGACAACACAAATATGGACCGAGAATCGCGTGCTCGCTACATAAAGATTGCTCAAGCTGCTGGAATCCCCATCCGTTGTTTCATCATGCAAACCGAACTAGAGCATGCCCTACACAATGAGAAGGTATCTTTCGCGTTTTGTGACTATGATTGCAGCTCTCGTGTTTTCCGCGTTAAGAAAATTCGCATTGTTATCTTCACATCCATGGGGTCGACTGCTTTTATGACTGGAGCAGACATCAAGATATCTACCTCTGTTAGAGTTTGTACAATATTTGGGAGTTCCTCTCAACCGATTAATAAACAGTTATAACTAAGTCATCCGAACAGTGCCCGAAGCCGGATATTTCGCAGCCTTGCTGGATACTCGGAATTTCATTAGGGACCTCTTAGATACGAGTTCCCATAAACTAGGTATTCGAAAGTTCGTGGACTGCCAGATTGTTTGAAAACAAGCATCCTTCTTCGTTGTTACTTCGTTCACATTTACTTATAAAGAATAAAAAGATAAGCGTTCAGCTGTAGCACCCTTCCGGTGCCTAGCTGCCATGCTACCCGAAGGAAGCACGAGGGCTGGGATACTGCCAGGTTGCCCAATCCTAGACAGGGGAAGTCGAGTGGCGGAGGTCGGATTCGAACCACGGACCCTCCGGGCCATCTCGCCTCCTCACATTTACTTGAAGCAACCTTGGACGTCCAACTAACAATGTTGCGTTTCAATTTTCTCACACGATCTACCTTTCTTGTATACACCAGAATGTACGTGCGAACTAATGTGTTTTACAACAGCACTCATAAGGGGAGACTCAGCTTGAACAAGAGATTCAGTTGATCCTCTTGTGAAAACCAAATTGATGTGCGAGTGTATTTGTCAAATTTTGTTTCTTTCGTGTCTTATACAGTTTCGTGTCCTGACTGATAACAAGCATGCTCCGATCGGAAGCATGGTTTTCAATATGTTAAAGTAAGTCTGTTACCTAATTCGTTCACTTAACACCCTCTGGAATTTTGCATTTTCTATGAGTTTACCGGGAAACAGCAGCAGTTAATGTTCTATGATTGCCTGTTCTTCTTCGAAAAAGCATCCCTAAGTGGTTTAACATTTGGATGGAATTGCATTGTGATCAAAGTTCTCGTCGAATTTTTGCAATCCAACTGGCTAGAATAAATTGCACCACTGCCGTTTGATTGTACCCATTCGTTGTAGGTGACATTTTTATGAAAATACTGGCGCGAGCGCCACGTGACCGGCACGTCTGACTGACCTTACTGTTTCCATCTACATCGTGCTTGCTAGTGAATAACGCTACTCCTTTTCGTGCACTTGTGGGTCTATGTGTTTCCTTTTTCAACATACATGGGCAACCTGAATGATAAGTGCATGTGGATTTTTCACCTCAAAAATAATGGTCAAAATCAGTGAACGGTGTGTGCACACGTCTGTGCACCAATCAACATGCGGGAAAACCTGTCAACCCTAACCAGGTACTAATCGTTCCACACATAAAGATGCATACATCGATAAAGCGGCGCTTTTGTTGACAGTTGACAGAACCTGACCAGGTATTACATTGAGTTATCATCGTGAGTTGACTCGGCATGATTTTTGAGCGATACTTTCTACGGCTTTCCGGCTATGAACTCAGCATGGGCACATTTAGATGCCGTCTGTTTATGCCAAACCAGGCGTATATGTTGACGTATGCTCGCGAGTGAAGTACTATTCCTAATCAAAACTTTCATAACTATCCAAAGGATAACATAACCGAACTACGGGTTCGTTCCGCCCTTGGGTGTCTTATATTCAGCTGCCCCCTTCTCCGAAGATCTAAAAAAGAAACTCAAGGGGACTGTGGGTTTTTATGCCTATTTGAATCAAATTTACCGGTAACTTTCTTATCCCCTCCGATAGGTCTAAACAACAACCTCCAAAAATTGAGGAAGGATTCAGTGAATTGGTCTCCGTCCCGTTCCTTCTGGATACTACACGCAGTCAGATCTCCCTCTATACAAAGTACCTGCTTGAAAAGTAAACACTGCCATGTCAAGAAATTCCTTGGACATTGTTGCACATAACTGAGTAACTTATCATCGTCTCTATTTTCACACTGGTCACGTTCGCTCACATTAAAACGATAAAAAAGCCTATACTAAGATAGATGCTGTTCGTTCTCTCTCTTGTTGTAAAACCTCGTTTCTCATGTTACATGTTTCACATTGTTGCTCATCTCGGTTGCTTGGGTTGTGCTGAGACTTCCAGTGACCCTCCGAGAAAAGGATTCTACCCCTCAGGTCTTGAAAAACGGTTCAGTTGTTGACATCGTTCTCTTTTTGAAGCGTCACTATGTTTTACGGATAGTAGACGAACCAGATCACTCGCCCAACGAGCTGGTCGGTTTCTTGGCAGATATTCCCTATTCATTTGATCCTGCCAGAGGTCACTGACGATTACAACTCTGACTTTGATATTGTTTTTCCAACACTAATTAGCCCTTGTCGAAAATCGTTCACTTATATTAGGATTTCAGCAAATTCGAGGCAGGTAATACTCTTGCGAGTTTCGCTGTCAACTCGCTGTTTGCAGAAAAAGGACTCCCCAAAAGTAACCAAGCATTTTTTTATTGGTAAAAACCACACTTTCAGGCTGGTCACAGTGCAGCGTAGACGTAATAGAGGAAGGCATAAAAGCATGTGTGAACCGCGCTCATCTCGGTTTTGGAATCCGTGTTTTACGCTCAAGAACATGGCATGGCAATGAGGTTTACAATGTCTCCGGTTTTGGCAAGTTTCTTTATGAAGGATTTTGAACGGATAGCTTCAAATGTATTCCGGTACCCACTGAGACTATTTTGGCATAGTGTAATTGACATGTTTGTCGTGAATAAACAAGACAAGATCGAAAAATTTTGCAATTACCTAGTAATTCGCATTCCTACGTCAATTTTAGTTCAGGATCAAAGTCAGTTTGAATCACACTACCCTTCTTAGACTGAATGGAAACTAAAAACTACCTCCTATTAACACGGGTGATTTTGGATTATTCGTCCGCGCATCTTAATGCGATCGATATTCGCTAGTTGTTGTGGAGTGCTGAACGCAGTGCAACTCTGAATCGGTCCCTTGGCTTCCTGCTCCACCCACTGTGGTATATCAAAAGACACGGTAGCTCTACACAGCCCTTTATGGAGACAAAGGGATATTATTACAACTGTGTTTATAGGGTAGTCACAGAGTGTTCCAGAATCTCCGTGAGAGGGCAAGAAGCGTCGAGTCAAAGGTGCTTGACTCGGGTTGGCTGGCATTCTGACCAATCAGGGCATGCCTTCGTTTGACCCGTGTCCTGCACATGACATCCGTCCAAATGATGTGATGTTCGGTTATTAGGGACGGCTGGCCTCCGTACACTAGTATAACCTCATCAGTGCACAAAAGTTGGTCGACGATCGGACAGTAGCTAAAATGCAAGTAAGAAACAATCCTTGAGGTATTGGATTTCAGCAACTTTGATTACGCGTCGATTTAGAAAGGTACTGGTGCCAGTGGTGAAACCCGATGGGGAATGGATTCGGGCTGTTATTATTCTATCTACACTCGAAGGATTCTAAAGACGGTTGAGACAAGCATAGTTTTCCGGAATGGAAACATTGTGCTATGCAGTGGTTCAATTGAAGGATCGACTCCCGTGGGATAAAACTAGGGTTTGTGTTTGCAAGATCAAGTGCAACAACCGCATCAAGGTTTATAGAGGATAGAAGGCTAAAAAACTTCACATCAGAACCCGTAACAAAAAAAGAAATAAACAGGTTGCCAAAAAATGACGATGAGTACATTAACGATGGGACAAGACACGGAACACAGATTTTAATTTTTTTCAAAGTGACGACTACGATTCACGCCACAGGGACTGAGGACCGAGACGGTGGGAAGGGCAAGGCATTGTATTGTGAAAAGAACAGAAGGCGTAGGGCTGGCGAGATTACGGAGGGTGTTATGAGATCAATCAAGCTTATACGTGGCGGTGTACGATTAGCAATGGTGAGTCATCAACAGAAGTACATGGCCGAAGCCGACCAAAGTCCACATAATCTCACCCCTAACTCAACTGTCGTAGTACTTAGGAACCCACAAAGACAAAAAGAAAGTGCAGTTGGCCTAGAAATATTCAGTCGAAGTTCTCTGGCCTTACGTTGCTTTTGTGTAAAGAGCGAAACGCTGCACAGTTGTAAGCCATTGGTCTTCCACCAAGCCTTTCTAAAACGGTACTTGTGGCTTATTTAATCGGAATTAGAGCACAACACTGCACGGAACTAAAGCCCTATCGAATACGAGGGCTAGCGTAAAAGGTACTCAGTTGCTGCTAATCGAAGTGTCAACGTCAGTTTCATCAATCGCTGGTCCCCTTTGCTGATTCTCCTGTAAGTGCGCTGAACCAATAGGATGCCGCAAACGTGCATAAAAGGACAAGTACTCCAAAGGTTCCGTACACTGACTAACGAGCGTAGGACCGATTGGTCTATCGTTGACCATCTAGTTGACTCAGAGCTGTACTCTACTGTTCGTTACCCTTATAGTATGGCGCAGCCCAATCCGTCGACTGTCCTTCCCTGTGACAATATTATCTATTTTCAGTCTACTTGCGATCACATACATCTACGGGTTATTTTGATGCTGCCTTGGTTTGCTTAATTGTGACAGTTCATACATCTTTATAGAGACGATTTGGACTCTGTTTACTAGTATGGTAGATTAACTGCGAACCGGGTGACCATCCTGCACACTCGAGCTAGTTAGTAAGCTCATTTCTGGGCGCGCGATCCGTCGTTGAAAGTAACTTTTGGATGGCACCGGGAGACATACCTGTGAGTTCAAACTCTATGCACGATTGTCACTGCTTATGACTTACAAGCACAAGCTAAGAAGAATACCATAGCTTGCCTGGTTTCCTTTACGCTGAGAAAATATCCCAGACTCTTCCGGGGTTTCTTTCGCGATGATATCCTCAGGTCCTGGTTTCTAAGCTCCGCTCCTCCCTCAAGCTTATAGAGGAGTACTTGAAACTCCCACGGTACGTAGAAACGACGCGTACGGGTGACATTTGAAAACGAATCTACCGGTCAACGACGAGCGGTTTTCACGGAGGCGAATGTTTGTTGCCGTGACCAGGATACAAATGAATGTTCATTGGCCACAACATGTTGAGCGTGGGGGTGTCCGGACTTTCCTGGAAGATTTTGAGGACGGCCGAGGTTGCTGGAATGTTAACTGGCCGGGGTAAGTTTACTTCACTGAAGGCACTGCTGAGAAGCCGAGCGAAGGCGGCTCTAGGAAGATGGACTGGATAGCCGCGAATGAAACCTTGTAAGGGATGCCGGTCGACCGCCATGAAGCTATAAGTTGGTTCAAGGCGGTCAGGATGGAACAAAGATGCGACTCGACGATGTTCGCCAGTCTGTATCAGGGGCTGAATGGTGCCTTGTCGGGATTAGAAGGAGTATTGCTCCGGCAGTTGCTGTCTGACCAGTCCATGGAAGGTGTGCAGCCGGCGCTCGGTTGTAGTTGGTGAGTGTGACCGGGCCAATTGAACTTGGTGATCTGGTGCATCTGGCATGCGAATAGGCCGAGGCGCTACTGGCCACGCTGTAGTCACAGGAGAAGCGGGATGAGACACCAGTGGATGACCTGCGGACCAAACTGGACCGACCAACCGAGCTGCTTTCCCCCACAAAGACAGAACTGCGAAGTCATGTCCGAACGAGCAGATGCTACAACTGTGGCATTCCTGGCCACTGGAAGAACCAATGTCGACAAAGCAACTCGTACAGTGGAGTAGCAATCGTGTTGAAATCCTTGACAGACCGGTTGTAGTATACTGCTCGTTCGAGAAACTGCCACAAGGACTGCTTTCGATCGGGGACAGTCCCTGATCTTTGTCAGTTTTTCCGGCTGTGGTCCAGCCTCTCCTTGGCCCACTATGTACAAGAAGTCATACCGAACCTCGAGCGAGCTATGTGTTGGCTTCATTGATCCGCAGGCTAGCTTCCTGACCACACTTCAGTACGAGTTAGTGAACTGCATGCTCTGGTTCCAAATTGTTACACGTGACATTGTCGTCCCCGCACATGGCAACATTCTGTAACCTCTTCGTTAAACGAAGCATCAGAAAGTGAGTGGTTCCCCCGACAAACTAAACGGTATCTGTCTAAATTGATACTGGGCATCCCCAACCATGAAAGCCGTCTTCTTCCGGTCCTCTGACTTGACGGCTATTTGCCAGTATCCGGAGCGCAAGTTAAACACCGTGAAATAGTGGGGTTGCTGGGACGAATAAAAATACTCCGCCCCGAAGGGCATTCCTTTTTTCGTTTGGCTTTGAATATTCAGGAAAGTATCTCCTTTTCTCCGATGCTTTCAGTTCTTTAGTCCGGTCATCATCCTTCGAATTTCAGCCTCTATAGATGGATTGGATAGGTCCATTTTCACAAGGTGCGTGAGTTAGCTGTGCAGGATAATCCATACCTAGATTTGTTGGATTGTTAAGCAATGTTGAGAATTGTGCCTTCCAATTCGTCCTGTGTGTCTTCAGATTATAGAGCGCCCGGTCGCTCCATTTACCGTGGATGTATTGGAATTTTGTATTTTGGCTTTATAGATTTCATTCAGTGCGCCAAAGAACTCTTTCTGACATCGTCGGTCTGTATACGATGGGGTCTCTTAGCCCTTCATAGCCCGCTGTTCGTTATTCAACCTGCGCAGATGGCTCAAAAGTTTGGTCATCGCTATGCGAAGCCCCGCTCATACTGACTGGTTTGACGGTCGCTGAGGCGATTGGATAAAAGCTGTCTTATTCCCAAGGAAGATATAGGCTCACCATTTTCATACAATTTTTTTTCAATCGGACGCTTTTCCTCGGAGCCACTGACATGTTTTACTTGATTCTGGCCCATTGTTCTTCAAACATATCCGGTGCCTTTGAATTGGAAAAGTATGCGACAGCCAGAACCATGAACTGCTTGGATTAAGCCTGGTTGATAATAACTTCGTATCATAGCGAAGCGGTTTGGCAAGGGTCAGTTGCACCAATACATGGTCAGTATCGCTCATCACCTTTTCATACGAACATTC